GGCATGTGGGATCTTCCTGGACTGGGGCACGAACCCATGTCCCCTGCATTGGCAGGCGGACTCTCAACCACTGCGCCACCAGGGAAACCCCCCTCTAAGAGTTTTATAGTGTCTGGCCTTACATTTAGGTCTTTAATGCATTTTAAGTTTATTTTTGTGTATGGTGTTAGGGAGTGTTCTAATTTCATTCATTTACATGTAGCTGTCCAGTTTTCCCAGCACCACTTATTGAAGAGGCTGTCTTTTCTCCATTGTATATTCTTGCCTCCTTTGTCAAAGATAAGGTGACCATATGTGTGTGGGTTTATCTCTGGGCTTTCTATCCTGTTCCATTGATCTATATTTCTGTTTTTGTGCCAGTACCATACTATCTTGATTACTGTAGCTTTGTAGTATAGTCTGAAGTCAGGGAGCCTGATTCCTCCAGCTCCATTTTTCTCTCTCAAGGTTGCTTTGGCTATTCGGGGTCTTTTGTTTTTCCCCACAAATTGTAAAATTTCTTGTTCTAGTTCTGTGAAAAATGCCATTGGTAATTTGATAGGGATTGAATTGAATCTGTAGATTGCTTTGGGTAGTATAGTCATTTTCACAATGTTGATTCTTCCAATCCAAGAACATGGTATATCTCTCCATCTGTTTGTGTCTTCTTTGATTTTTTTCATCAGTGTCTTATAGTTTTCTGCATACAGGTCTTTTGCCTCCTTAGGTAGGTTTATTCCTAGGTATTTTATTCTTTTTGTTGCAGTGGTAAATGGGAGTGTTTCCTTAATTTCTCTTTTTGATTTTTCGTTGTTTGAACTATTGTTTCTTGACTGCTTTTCCTTTGTTTCTGCATTCCCTCCCTTCCCTTAATCTCGTTAATTACTGAGACTTGTTCAAGGGCTGGCATCGTGGCCAGGCTTAGATCACAAAATAGCTTAAGCCAAAAATGACTTCTCTTCCATCAAGAAAGCCATGCCTAGTTCTCTTTCTCCAGGGACCTTCTACCCCATCTGCTTACCTTCGGACCCTCATTCTATCGCATTTTACGGACAGCTACTGGACACTCCAGGTAGTCTTCTAGGAACTGAGGATGTAACAGTGAATAAAACAGGCAAAGTAAGTTAAGGGGCTTACATTCTAGTAGAAGTAGAAGACAGTAACCAAATAAGGAAATAAGTAAAATATATAGTATTGGATGGCAGTAAGAGCTATGGAGGCAAATAAAGCAGAGGGGATGATACAGAGTGTATAACGTGCCATCAGAGGTCTCAATGAGAAGGTGACATTTGAATGACCTGAAAGAGGTGAAGGAGTGGGCCATCTAGAAATCTGGGCAAAGAATGTTCTAAGTAGAGGGAACAGTAAATGCAAATGTGCTGAGATAGGCATGCGCTTGCCACCTTCGTCGAGGAAGAGCCAGAAGGTCAGTGTGGCTGGAGTGGAAAGAGTGGAAGATGAAGTCAAAGAGATAAGGGAGGACCTCACCTTGCAGGGCCCTAGGCCATTTCAATGACTTTAACTTTTACTCTGAGATAGGAGCCATTGGAGGATTTTGAGCAGAAGAGGGACATGGATGTCATTTTTGCTTTAACAGAGTCTCTTTCGCTACTGTATGGAGGACAGACCTGAAGAGAGCCAGAGTAGAAGGAGGAGACTGCAATCATCTGGTAAGAGGTGATGGTGGCTCAGGTTAATGTGGTAGCAGGAGAGGAAGTGAGAAATGGTTGGATTCTAAATGTATTTTGAATGTAGAGCCAACAGGGTTTCCTGATGGATTAGGTGGTGTGAGAAAAAAGGACTTTTTGGTCTGAACATGAACTGAGGATATATAGGCTGTGGAAGGAGCAGATTTGGGAGTGGCAGGGAGGTCAGGACCTTGATTGAACACATATTAAGTTTGAGATGTCTATTAGGCATGTCAAGATGCCAAGAAAGAGGCTGGATATACACGTTTGGCAAAGTCTGTGTTGGAGATGTAAAATTGAGAGTGTTCAGCATATCGATGTTATTTAAAGTCATGAGATTAGAAGAGATCACCAAGGGAGCAAATATAAATAGAAAAGAAAAGATGTGCAAGGACTGAATCCTGGAGCTCTCTAACATTAAGTGGTTTTAGAAGTGAGTAGGAACCATCAAAGGACGTGAAAGGAATGGCCAGTGAAGTAGGGGAAAAAACCGCAGGAGGTGATGGTATGCTGAAAGCCAAGAGAAGAAAACCTATC